AATCAAAAGCAAAGCTGTAACCCTCTGTGAGACAGTATCTTTATGACCTCCGGAGAAGGAAGAATTTATTAAACATGACACAAAAGTGCGAGCTGCAGAGGCAAAGGTCAAAAAGTATCCTACAATTTAGGATAACTTAATTGGAAGGAAAAAACTTAATTGACAAAAATAGGAATAAATCTTAATAGGTACTTTATAGAAAGAAAATCTGAACAGCCAATAAAAAGATGCCCAACCTGATTAGTAATCATGTAAATAAGAATTAAAACCACAATGGGAGATCATTTGTAACTCACCATAGCAGGAAAAAAAAGTTCGTTGATAATATCTTGTGTTGGTGAAGATAAGGGTGAGCCGGGTCACTTGGATAGAACTTCGCATGCATGTAAATCAGTACAATCACTTTAGAAAACAGTCTGGCATAACCTGTACACTCGTCTGTGCTTCCAGCCTTGCATTTTTCATAAATTAAAGAAAACAATCAAATATTTTGTCTTTCTACATGAATATTTTGGAGTAACCAAATAAGGGATAAGGAAAAATCATTTTCTCTGAAATAATAATATAGCTAAAAAATGCAGGGTGAATGATAGAGTTGGAAAACACCATTGTGTAACCCTGAGTAAAAAATACATGGGTAGCTTTTATGAGAAGATGCTGAAACCATGAGTAACACTCAACGGAAAACCTTATAATGATGCGATCAGACTGACCCTGCCTGAACCCACTGATGGAGCTCAGGAGCTCTAACACCGGGGCAATAGGAAGTGTAGAGCACCACATATTAAAGACTCTTACTTGGAAAAACCCTCTTTTAATACGATCAGGTTATAGGGAACAGAGGGATAGAAGTAGGAGCACAGCAGCATGAGAGTGATCCATCAAATTCAGAACATGGAGATTTCAGAACAAGGTCCTTTAGTACCTGGTTCTTCCAACAATGCAATAGGTCAATAAAAAGGGAGGGGGACAGTTAAAAGCAAAAAATGTGCCAGATGTAGAATATAAAACACAATATTATTTGAATTTCAATTGGTCAAACCAACAGTCAAAAGACAATCAATGAAATACGATTAAGGACTAAATAGCTATTAGACGATGTTAAGAAATTATTTTGGTAGGTGTGATAATGTCATGATGCTGGCCTTTAAAATGACATTTGAAAAAATCCACACTGAAGTGTTTTTAGGTGAAATGAGACATCCTATATTTGATAGAACAAAAACAAAGCTGTTAAGGCAACAGGATCTCATGTTTTTAATAAACAAGAGTGGCGACAGAGAAAAAGAGAGCTGAGATAACATCTAGATTTTGCCTCCAGTTTCAAAGGCGGTGTCATTCACCAAGTTGGGGATAGAGAGGCAACAGACATCTTCAGTGACTAAAATAAATTTAATTCTGAACATACGTTTTAGATGTCGCAAAGAACTCATCTGATGTTTGGGGACATAAAGTATCAGTAGCAGCCATTGCATCTTTGTGCCATTTCCAAAAGTTTCTTCCAGCAATACCCAGGGGTCCAGCCACAGGTACAATGAAGATGTCTGGATGAATCTTTGGGGGGGGGGCTGTCAGCAGGACAGATAAAACCCAAAGGGCAAAAAGACAATGGCAGTGGAGATTATTGCAAGAGAAAAGTTAAATGATATGCTATGCGTCTGGGCTGAATAGGAAAAGAGTGAGTCTATCAACATGGTGGTAGCTGAGAAAGTCTTCAGAGAATAGCAATAAAAATGGACAGAGGATGGCAGAAGTTTCCGAGGGGAGACTACTGTTCTCGGCGTCAGATACTGATCTGAAGGCAGCAGTGGGGAGTTACACCGGAACGCTGCTGCTCTGGGAGTTCTATGGTAAGTGAAAGATGAAGCATTTAGCTTGAGTGCTGTGAGGAAGGGAGTGAAAGAACCAGTTTGGGAATAGGCTGGCAGTGCCGAATATGTCCTGGGTTGTAGCAGCCCATATAGCCTATGGCTAGGAGGAGTGAGAGTTATAGGAAATACTTGTAATGGAACACCTTGGTGGAAAGGGCATGGAGAGAGATTTAGTTCTAACAAGCATGAGAGAGTTCATGAGATGCGAGCAGTGGTGAATTGGCAGTCTCTACACCTGTGGTGGTGAGAGGCACGAGCTCAGCCTTATATTAGGCTGGAGGAGAAGGCAGACAAAAAGCATGCGCATTCTATCATGGACTCGCTTACTCTGACTCTGTCTCCTCTCCTGCCTGTAGAACGCCAGGACGGTGTCTCTCTGCTGAAGATTACCAAGCTCTGCTAAAGACTAAGAGCTATCTGTTCAAGAAGACTGCTTTCCTCTCTCTAAGACACTCTCTCTCTCTCTCCAGCTAAGGCAGGTAGCCCTCAAGCACCTAAGAGAAACTGTTCCTAAGCAAGGTAGCTTAGCGGTCCGTGTCTGGAACCTGCCTAAGCCGCCCGAGACCTGACCAGTCCCAGGCCCTGATGAGTGGTGTCAGAAGCAGATCCTGACACTGGGTGATGGGATGAGAGCACCAGAGGAAGGGAGCCTAGAACAGGACAGAGATGAGAACACGAGAGGGAGCTGGTTAGGAGCCAGCACTTTGGCTAGTGACCAGAGGAAGGGGGGGCCTGTTAGACAGGCTGCCCCGAGGCCTCTAGGCAGAACAAGTCCCAAGTGATCCAAGACCCTCCTGAGGTTAACAATTTTTAGGCTCTACTTATCATTTAAAAGGAATGTTACTAAGAATTTATTTATCTCATCTCAGAAGAATCTTCTTTCTCAGGCTGTTAAAAGAAAATAAGAACATCTATGCTCCTTCTTCACTTGTAAAACTTATTTTATACATAATCAGTTTTATGACATTCCTCGTACATGTACATTAGCATTTGAGGCACAATGTAGAACAGATAATAAAAACCCCTCATCCCTGCGTGAGAATTGTATGTAACTTACCTCATATCCGTGGGTTTGGGAAGAAGTTTTTTTTTCCCGTTGAAGTAGACTTCGAAATCTTCCGTCTTCAGCCTGTGGGCGAAGTCGATGTACCCAGACACCTCCTGCCCGTGAGAGTTCCTGTCCCGAATGAAGATCACGGACTGGTGGCAGAGAACGGAGAGAGGAGAGAGTAAATGGGTAGAGGCCACTGTGCGTAGTAACGAAAGCTCTATGTCCGACCTCTAATGGGGCAGGCAGTGTCCCAAGTGCCTTACGTTTCGTCCTTGTCAGGGTTCTGCCAGGTAGGAGCCATTATGTTCTCCTGACAGATGCAGAAAGCCCAGCGAGCACACACGTCACACGCCACACGCACTGACCATCATTTTGTCTAACAACATCAGTAAATAACTCTCTCTCCAAGGCAGGACATTAAGCACTTGAAATATATTCATTTATTGCTTTCTTTTCAATCCTATTGTCCTTTGTGTCATCATTTTTAGGTTAAAACAACTGCGGGGCAAAGAGAAGAAATACTTCCTTCAAAGTCTCACAGCCAGGAAATGGCAAAACCGAGCGGGAACCTCGGGCTCAGGTGTCTGAGCACGGCTTCCCTCTTTTCGGTTTGAACTCCGATGTGCATTCTGTTCCTGAGGTATAAAGAGGTCCCTTCATCTCATTACCATAAGAGTCAGACTCGCTTTACAAAATTCAATCCATAAGGTAAAATGAGACAGCAAACTCCCTTCTTTAACA